GGACCAAAGAGATCCATGTGCAAAAGTTGAAGCGGTCTAGACGTTGAAACAACGTTTTTAGACTTAAACGAAGCCCGAACTTGCTTCCCCTTTTGACATGCATCACATATGGTGTCTTTTTCAAACTTAAGTTTTGGGATGCCAATTACTAAGTCTTGTGAAACCAATTTGTTCAAAAGGTTCATGTTCATATGAGCTACCCTTCGGTGCCATAGCCAAGTGTCTTCCTCTATACTCATGAGGCACTTAGCAAAGCCGGAAGGAGATTTGTCTAAGTTAACCATATAAATGTTATCGATTCTATCACCACGTAGAATGACCTTATTGTCACTAAGGCGTTCTACAGTACATGATTTTGAATCGAAGGTCACACGGTTTCCCTTGTCACATAATTGACTTATGCTCAAGAGATTGTGTTTAAGACCTTTAACAAGCAAGACATTATCTATGGACGAGTCGTCGGACTTACCTACTGAGCCGACCCCAATTATTTTTCCTTTGCTGTTGTCTCCAAAAACTACGTTTCCTCCTTTAGCGGGTTTGATTTGTAAGAACTTGGATGCATCTCCGGTCATGTGCTTGGAACATCCGCTATCAAGGTACCAAAGTACACTTGATGCCTTCAAGCATACCTACAAAGATGATTTAGTAAGATTTAGGTACCCAAGTCTTTTTGGGTCCTTGAGTGTTAGGTGCAAAGTGGTAGTGTGATTCATTTTGTGCCCAATGCCTATGCCTAGTAAAGCAAACGGGAGCTATATGTCCTACCCTATTGCAATAGTGACAAACTACGTTTGGGTTATGCATCCTCCTAGGTTGATAGTAGTTGCTAGGGGGCCTGACCATATTCATCCTGTTTTGAGAAAACCTTGGTTTTTGAAAATTTTCCCTTCTAGGTGTTCTAGAGTTATTTTGTCTATTTGAAAAATTATTTTTATGCATAGAATCATTTTGATAACTTTTCCTAGTTTGTCTATCATGCGCATTTTCATTCCTAGGTTTTTGTCTAGGTTGTCTAGTGTCCCTAGGTTGACTAGGTTTTCTATTATCCTGACTTTTAGTTTTCTTATGTTGAGCCTTAGGAGGTTTTCTAGGTGTTTGCTCAATGTTTTTATCCTTAGATTCATTTTTATCAAAACCTATTCCTTCCTTAGAAAATGCATAGTGTCTAGTCAACCGATGCGAAACCCGACTGAAAAATTCAAAGTTCTCCAAAATAAAAACCAAGTGTTTAAAACACTTATTTGATGTATTTGGCTAATAAATCGAGTAAGACACTTTAAAAACCACGTCATTTAAGTGAAAACCACGGCTAGCTAAGTTTTATGCCGTTTTGAATGATTCTTGTCAAACGACCAAAAGCGAAAGATGGTTTTCAAGGTGTTTTTGTTGGAGAACCGTTTAAACATGCCAAAGAGTAAAAACCAATCATAAAAAGTTGAAAACCACTTGGTTGGTTCGAATGCCAAAAACCATAGCCGATAACCGAGAGCCGAACGCCAGTTTCTGAAACCCGAACGCCGGATGGCTTGGTTTTTGGTTTGGGCGAACACCAAGTGTTTTTAATGACTTAAACATGTTTGAAAAAAAATTTTATGATTTAAGAAGTGCAATGAAGGTTTTTAGCCTAAAGAGCCAAGGTGTAAAGATTGGGTCGGTCTTGATCACAATGAAGACCGACTCAATGACACTAAGACTAAGGTCTTCGTTCTTGGTCTTCTTTTAGCTCTTGTTCTTGTCTTCCTTCTTCGCCTTGTATATTCAAAGTTTGACTTGATCACGGCGGTTTTGCATTATCAAAACCTGTCATAAAAACAAACACGGCTTTAGTACGAAAACGTGACATGCCCGTGTTTCAACATCGTGAGCTCGGGATCACCAACTTGATCCGCCACAGCGGTGCGCCGACAATTCACTCTGCCCCACTGGAGAAGCGCCTCCTCCTCTACAGCCTCACCCGGATCCTCCGCCCCCAGGATGGCAGCCACACCTCGCTCTTCAACGAGGACTTGAAGGCAATTCACGAAATCATGCACGACGCCTCCATCAACTGGGCGAAATAGGTCATGATTCACATGACGGATTGCGCTTCCATCATCCACGAGCGGAGCTTGCGTACGCTTTCCTCGTCATGGACCTCATCGTCTCCGCCGACATCCACATCGTCGGGCAAAGTACGAAGATGACGAAGCTTTGGGTCATAGCCGAAAACACCTTCAAGAAGAAGTCCGGAAACCGTGACGGCGCCGGACCGAGTCGTGCCCGTGCCCATGCCCCCGCTCCCGCTCGGGCCTCGTTGCAGTCCATAGACAACACCCTGAATCGGCTAACCCTCACGGTGGACGACATGGGGCAGTACATAGAGAGGATGAACTGGATGTTGCAACGCCAACACCATGACATGAGGGCGTTCTTCCGCGGCATCAACTACGTCCCGCCGCCCTTTGACAGCACCATCCTCGGCCAAACCTTTGAAGGCGATGATGAGGACGACGACTCCTATGCTCCATCCTCTTCCCCCGATGAGGCTGACTTTGATGAAGACGTGGACGGCGATCCCATGGACGTCGAGGACGACAAGGATGATGACGACGATGACGACGAGGACGCCGAATCCTAGACTCTTCCTTTATTTCCTTTCCTTAAATATGATTGTATTTTTTTATTTTTATTCCCATTCCATTGTATTCTTCATTTCCCTTTTTAATGAATAAAAGTTTACTTTTAATAATAAAGTTTACTTTTAATTTTTTTTGTTAATATCAAAAGGGGGAAGATATGAAGGTTATGCATAAATTGAGGGGAATTTTTTTTAAAACTCTTAATCAACACAAAAACATTGTTGAAAATAAAATTATATTTATTAAGGGGGAACAATTTTTTTTAAGTCTTAAAATTATCCACCTATGCATAACCTCGCCTTGTTTGCCATTATCAAAAAGGGGGAAATTGTTGAAACACGGGCTTGTCACGTTTTCGTACTAAAGTCGTGTTCGTTTTTATGACAGGTTTTGATAATGCCAAACCGTCGTGATCAAGACAAACATTGAACATACAAGGCAAAGAACGAACATGAGAACAACAGCTAAAAGAAGACCAAGAACGAAGACCATAGTCTTAGTGTCGTTGAGTCGGTCTTTATTGTGATCAAGACGGACCCAATCTTTACACCTTGGCTCTTTAGGCTAAAATTACTTTCATTGCATTTCACACACCATAAAAATGTTTTTCAAACATGTTTAAATCATTAAAAAAACTTGGTGTTCACCCAAACCAAAAACCAAGCCATCCAGCGTTCGGCATTCGGTTATCGGCATTGGTGTTTGGCGTCCAAACCAACCAAGTGGTTTTCAACATTTTATGATTGGTTTTCACTTATTGGCATGTTTAAATAGTTCTCCAACAAAAACACTTTGAAAACCACCTTTGGCTTTTGGTTGTTTGGCAAAAACCACGCAAAACGACATAAACTTGGCTAGGCGTGGTTTTTACTCAAACTACATTGTTTTTAAATTGTCTCACTTGATTTCTTAGCCAAATACATCAAATAAGTGTTTTAAACACTTGGTTTTTATTTTGGAGAAATTTGGATTTTTCGGTCGGTTTTTGCATCGGTTGGCTAGGCCGTGGTTTAGGAAAAAACCATGGGTTTTTGACTAACCATCCACCCAGCGGATGGGAGGAACTACTCATCGATGGGTAAGCGGTCCTTTAGCCAAACCAACATCCAGAACCATGCCAAACAGCGATGGGAAGTTCTACCTATCGCCGTTAAAGCCTTGGTCCAACATCTACACAAGGAAGAACGACCTTACCTAGCGATGGGGACTTTCACCCTTCGATGGGAACCGAGTGATGGGAAGGCATAACCATCGCTGGGAAGGCATGACCGTTAGAAGTCATTTAAGGTTGATTCTTTCCTTCTTTGGAAGTCAACCTCTCACCCAGCGGTGGGAAGCTTGTACCCATCGATGGGTAGGTGACCATTGGCTTCAAAACTGAGGGAAAATTGGCTTACCAGCAATGGGTAAGTCCATACATCGATGGGAAGCCAATATCCTGCAGATCCCAAATTTATTCAATCCCATAAATCAAGCCAATCACCCCTTTAATGTTTTGGTCCGTTGGAGCCTTTTTGGCACTAAAAAAAGGGGTGTTTGGGTCTGCTTTTCTAATAAATTCACTTCACAATTCTCATACAATCATTGCATTCAAACAACATCTTTTTCATAGCTTTCTAGAGCCAATTTGTGTGAAGTTTGAGTTGTTCTTGAGCGTATTTAGTTTACTCAATATCTACTCTAAAAGAGAGTCTCGTTCTTGAGTGTATATGTGTACTAAGACACGTTGAGAGAAAGTATTTCTTTCGTTTGATTCGAAGGAAGGGATGTTTCTATCAAAGGATTTATTGAGGTTCGTGTGACTCGAACTCTCAAGTTTTAAGGCTTTGTTAAGCACCGTTAAGCTTAACGAGATAGTAGAGTAGCTCGAGAGAGTCTCTCGGGAGGCTACATTAGCCACAAGTTGTGGTGAACCAGGGTAAATTCGGTGTGCCTCTTACTCTTCTCTTTACGTCTCTTTTAAATTTTTAATTCCTGCGATTTTTACGATTAAACGCTATTCACCCCCCCCCTCTAGCGTTGGTCTATTATTCTAACACCACGCGTATTTAAATATAAAAAAATCGTTAGTTTCGGAAGTTCTTATCCTTTTTCAGCAAAACTCGTTAAGTGCCCATAAGATAATACCGAAAAATGATATTTGAAGAAACAAAATTATTAACAAATAAGTCCACTAAAAGTTTTTTTCCAATTAAATATTCTAATTAAATACTATTTTGTGTGGTTGGAAATGTTAGTCCAAGTAATGACACTTCTCGATGTTTTTTCAGGAATTAGTAATGTTTTTCTTATTGAATTTCAAGTTCCTTCCCTCGGATGCACTATTAAGGAGATTTTCTTGACCATGAAGTTAACACTTAAATCCTCTATTAGAAACTGGTAAAAGGCCATCAAGGAGGGACTCGCACATCATCCTGAAGTTTTCGATTCTTTCAAGCACGGTAACCCTTTGGGAAACTACTTGGATGTGGAGCATTCGCATCATATAATGCTTCGAACTCCGAGTGTTTGCCCTTATCAGTCACTTGAACTACTCGGAGTTGAATACGGAGTTCGAAGCATTATATGATGGGAATGCTCAGAAAAAATTTCTTGGAGCTCACTACCCTATGGTACTCATTTGACAAAAAGTCTATTCGAGTACCAGAGGGAAGTGAGCTTCAAGCAATTTTTTTCCAAGCATTCGCATCATATGATGTGAATGCTTGGAAAAATGTACTAAGAGGAGAGAAAACAAAATTACTCAAATTTGATGAGAAAAATGAGAGAACGATTTTCTATTCTTTTCCATCTGATTCCTTGAACCAAACGTAGTGCTATTTTAATTAAAACTGGTAGATTGGGAAAATAAATATATTTGAAACACCTACATTTAATGAGGAGACGGATTGCTGACCGTAATGAATACAAGAAACCTTTCTAATTTTTCATTTTCAATAATTTGTAAAAAAAAGGTGCTTGAAAAGGTCTATTTGGTAGTGGTCGAAATATTTTTGAATTCCGTCAAAATTCTTTTTAGTAGTCAACTAATTCTTTTGAAAATAAATATGGTATTTTGGGAAAATAAATATATTTTAAACACCTACTCCATCTAAAAATTGTGAGTGGTCGAATTTGGTCAAAAAGGTCAAATTGGTCGATTTGTCCAATAAGAAAAAGTAAGATGCCTAAGAACTTTACCGAAAAAGAGTTGTACAAACACATTAAATCCTCAGGCACGCATACTTGGAAAAGAATAGATAAATTCAAGTGTTTATTAAAAAACAATCAATTAAATTGTTGTTTACCGTTTATGATGACACTAAACTCCCACCATAAAGGTGTTGTTCCCCACCGGCCTCATCACAAGCTTGTCCCCAACCCGCAAACCATTCGAATCAACAAAGTAATACCACATTCTCTTTAAGAACCCATCACCAATAAAATCAACCTTGAGTGTGCAGACCACGGGCAACATGTTGGGTCCTATGAGAGTGACATCTGTTTTTCCGTTTTCAAAGCCATTTGGTGTGCAAAATTCTTCACTTAAGTACTCAGACAACAACGGATAAAAATTCGTTAATTAATGGGAGGAAACTACACCATGTATTCCAAAAATTCATCTATAACTAAAAAAGCATACCAGCTTCTGGGATGACTCCCAAAAGTGTGATTCTTCCAACTTGCAAACAAACACGTCGTCGTCATCATCATCATCTATAACTTCATCTGCATCTGATAATAGAATTCAAAAGAATTCAGGGAGGGGGGGGGGGGGGAAATATACCATATTTGAAAGTCTTACCAGAATCATAATCAGGAATTCTTATTGGGTAGTCAACTTCTAAACCAAGGGTCGAAATCACAATGGCTGTGTATGCTGCCTCTCATAATTTTTTGAACAAAATATGCCAAAGATGTTTGCATTGGTGGTCATAAAGAAATTGTGTCCATCCATTCTCGGCAGCAAATCGATGCTTACCGTCATCTCCAAGAACGACTCGGACTGGATAGCACCCAATCCAAGTATATATATCCAATCTCTCATCCCGTGGATGATAGCGAGAAGCAATGACCTGTAAATCATGAAATCGAGTTTAAAGGCAAGCATGCATGTGTTAGTCATATGCAATCCAATGACCTCTTACTGTTGTCAAGGAACCAATTCAACCAAAAGCTCAAGCTTGTAGTTGTGGCTCATGAACATTTATTTATATTCTAACACGCCCCCTCATGTGCAGGCGTAGTCTTTTTTTGAGCCTTGCACGTGAAACCTTAATTTTTTAAATTGGGTGGCGCTGAGTTTCGAACCCGTGACCTCTTAGTCAACGAGGATCTGATACCATGTCATGGAACCAATTCAACCAAAAGCTAAAGCTTGTAGTTGTGGCTGAGGAACATTTATTTATCGGTATAAGCATCCCCTTTGATGACCACCACGAAATCTGATTGCGACATGCTTTTACTCACAGCGGCGTTGGAGAATGTTCATGAACGTATGAAGAAAACATTTTAGAGAGAGGGAGTCGCATCCGAAGCGTTGGAAGCGGTGGAAGCGGCGGAAGAAACGAGGAAAGAAGAAGAAGAAGATAAAGGCAACGATGGAAATTTTTGACTTTTCAATTCTCATTTAACATAAATGTGGCAGGCGACTCACAGAAAATTACAAAATTTTGTCTATATTTAACAAACTTTTGTCTATATTTGTCGTATTTCTAATTTTGTACATTTTGGAGAAGTTCGGAACCGTACTACATTGCCAATTCTCATATTCTATAATGTTGGCTGTAATTTGGACAAGTAAGACTATTACTATTGTGTTGACCAATATTGTTGTGGACCAATACTGTTGTTGGGGGGCCTTGTTTCTAGATTTTTACCTTTCGTAATATAATAATCCTCATTAACACAGTCCGAAGTCCGAACATAATTGTTACAACTACCGCTACAGTTAAACTCGTAACTGGATTGCTACCTCTACTACGGTCCGAAGTTAATTATTAACACCAACACGTACGACTAAACTACATTTAGGCTCTTAACTACAATTAAGCTCTTAATTGTTAACACCAACACCTACGACCATGTTTCTAGATTTTTACTATTTTTTATAATACTTCTCATTAACAGGGTCCAAAGTCCGAACATAATTGTTACGACTACCGCTACAGTTAGGCTCGTTACTGGATTCTTACCTCTACTACGGTCCGAACTTAATTGTTAACACCAACAGGTCCAACTATGCTACTGTTAAACTCCTAACTGGATTGCTACCTCTACTACGGTCTGAATGTAGTTATTAACACCAACATGTACGACTATGCTATAGTTAAACTCGTAACTAGATTGCTACCTCTACTACGGTCCGACCTTAATTGTTAACACTAATAGATACGACTATGCTATTGGTGTTAAATTTGTAACTGGATTGCTACCTCTACTACGGTCCGAACTTAATTGTTAACGCCAACAGGTACGACTATGCTACAATTATCCTCTTAACTGGATCGCTACCTCTACTACAGTGCGAACTTAATTGTTAACACCAACAGGTACGACTATGCTACAGTTAGGCTGTTAACTACAATTAAGCTCTTAATTGTTAACACCAATAGGTACGACCTTGTTTCTCGATTTTTACTATTTTTTATAATACTCCTCATTAACACAGTTTAAAGTCCGAACGTAATTGTTACGACTACCGCTATAGTTAGGCTATTAACTGGATTGTTTCCTCTACTACGGTCCTAACTTAATTGTTAACACCAACAGGTACAACTATGCTACAGTTATCCTCTTTGTTGGGAAAAATATTATAGATTTTGATGATGATGTATTTAGATTATAATAGGGACTTTAGGTCTCCCCCAATATTCAATGTAATTTTTCTTTTTAGAAATATTGTTAAAACCGAGTTCTTGAGATTTCTAATGAAGTTGTGATATTTCACTTTGTGGTTTGATGCCAATCTTTGAAGACTTAATCAAATTCTGTGATATGGAAATTGGATATCTTGATCGGAAATGTCAGAGACAAGTAATGAATTCTCAAAGCAGTTGATTACTTTGAAGATTCTCTAATCCGGAACACTACATGATACCCGGATGTCTCGCTACAAACCGCTGAAGGCTGAGTCAGCCAGATCGGAAGACTAGCGCGGATCTCTTTCTCACCTGGAAGTTTGTGAATAACTTTTCCGGATTAGTCAGCAAAGAACTGGATGCCTCAAGAAAGACCGGAATTCTCAGAAGGAGACAAGTGATAAAAAGACTTAGAAAAATCTAAGTCTTGAATGAAGAAATTCTGCACGTTGGTAAGGAAAAATCAATCTCTTGATTTTCAACGGCTAGATTGAAGATAATTATGCTGATTCAAGAACAAATGACTTAAAGACAAAGTCTAGACCTCTCAATTTGAAGAGCTCGCCTAGAATTCCTAAACAAGCACTAGAAGACAAACTGAGTAAAGAGCTACAGTCCAGAATTCTTGAACAACAGCTAGAAGACGGATTCTGTGAAAAAAGGAATCCCTCCTCAAACAATTGGGTATGTCCAAACACCCATTCCAATGAGGAATCCTCAATCATAATCTTCATTCAAAATTGAAGCTAGCAAATGCAATGGATAGTCTATTTTGACTCAACGAATAGATTAACCAATCCAGCTATAAATAACATCCATGGAAGACTAGAGAAAAACACGAACAAGATACAAATACAAGACGAGAGGTAAATTTCTTACTATAGCTAGTAATTTACGTAAGGTAAATTACTAGCTATAGAGCACATACTCTTTCTCATCCATGCGGAGAACAATGGAGAGATTGCGTTGCCAGTCACCAAAGTTTGTTCCATTCAATAAAATATTTTATATTTACCGTATTTATATATATTTAAATTCGAAAAAGGGCTTTTATTTCGAATTAAATATGTATATGTTTTCTAAATTAGCAAATAATTATTGGAGACTCCCTGTAAACTTTATTAATCTGGAAATCCTAAAATTCCAGAATGAATAAAATTTAAAATTTTGAAAACCATTTTTCAAAGATAGAAAACCGAAATTATATTGTGAAAATATATTTCGAAATTCTAAACATATCAAAATTTATTTTCCAAGTCACAAATAAGTTCCAAAACCAGAATATGATTTTTCTAGAATTTAAAATATTAATTTTGCAATTTAAAATAATTAAAAATCGGACTAGTGAATAGTACCGATCCAATTACTTCAAAAATACAAAATAAATACTTTTACGTGTTTAAAAATTATGAAAATTTTTATACAAGCTTAGAATCTCTGGTCTCAACTTATTATGAATTAAAATTAATTTTTGATCGTCAAAAATAAGTTTTCCCATTTTCTATTCAATAAACGAATTTAAAAATAGAAAAAATAAGAACTTAATTCCAAAAATCGATTGTAAAATTTCTGAGTTATATTGACATGTCAAATACTTCCCAGAAAATATAAAATATAATTTTCATAAATATTAAGTATTTATGGCACAAATAACAAGTATTCTACACATAAACTACTTAATAAGAATAATATAAAAATACCCCAAACAGTAATTCCGAAAATTACTGAACAAAATTATATTAGGTCCAGTATCTAAATATGGCAACCTAATTAAATTTTTAATGGGATAAATTTTTGTCTCCAAAATTTATTGACTAATCTACAAAAACAATAACGGTAAAAACTACTAAACTAGTAACTTCGTAAGCCGGCTCTGATACCACTGTTGGGAAACGAGGCTTGGATAACGCAGCGGAAAACAAAAATTTATAGTCCAAAAGTCGATTCCACCCAAGAACAACTTACGTAAATTACTAGCTATAGTAAGAAATTTACCTTAACGGTGAAAACGAAGAACGGAGGAACGGTCGGGGATGGTTTTGAGGAGATGAACGTAGCGCCAAACGTATGAAGCCTCCAACGTATCCACACGAACTTGCTCCGGAGTCCAAGATTAAACTTGTGCTAGCAAGTTTAATATAGGATAGTAAAAACTATAATAATACTACTTTGGGAGTAATAAATATATAGTAAAA